TTTAGTAACGAAAAGACAATAATATCTATTTACTGACTTCAAGTGGTGGAATAACTTATTATAATGTTCAGAATGGGACCCGGAACAATATGTATGGTGACATAATAATTAACGGTTTATTGAAAGAGCATGGCAGCCGGAAGGCTGAAAATATACAATTACATGATTGGGGAATGAGTCTCTTGATTTACAAATGATATACAAATAACATAAGTGATACAGATATAATATATAATAATTAGGTGTTGATAATTTTTACAATGGTTGGGACTGGGCTGTTCTTATAGCAATCAGTTCGTGCTCGTATGGGCTGGATGCGGTTGGGCAGGTGTGTGGCCACGTGGCCAGGACAGTAGAAGTGTACAGGATGTATGACAGGGAAATATACCATGGAAATAGCGAGGAGAGTCTATATGAATATTAATGATAGCAGGAGTGTTCATTTGCTCAGTAAAGTAAGATACACGTTACTTTACTTCTTTACTTATTTTATTACACATCCATCCACAATATACCTGCATGCCAGGACTTATTAATAATACTTCAGACATTGACTATCATACTCTTCAAGTCTGCTTTTGTCAAGTTTGTGATGGTTCTAGTCTACCGTTAGTACCACAATAAATTTTGGTCTTCTAACTAATGCAATATTTCCTAATAGTGAAGGTAAGTTTATGCTAACCAGGAAACAAACAGTACCACCACCACCCCCAGTGTTCTGTGTTCCTTCTCACCACTTTCTTAATTTAGGTCCACGGTTGATATATGTTAGATATATATATGTAAAACGTGATTATGCAACAAATTTCAGACTTTTGGGGGACATCTGGACCCCTTAAATTGAGGCTCAAAGGTTATGCTTCTGGACAGCATCTACGTGCAATGATTTTGACTCAAATGCATGAGGTCTAAACATGCTCCGAAAATTCAAAATTCCGCCATGCCATCATACCCCACGGTGAGGAATGATATATGTATCACCCCTGAAGCTGGGAAAAAAACATCGGTGAAAAATGAAACAGCTGAGCCCGGTGGTGGCCGTGACCCACGACTCAACTTTAATGTTTAAACTTTCAACTCTCACAGGGAAAGTTTAGCGTGTACCTTGTGCTGTGCTTTGAAGGTTGGTACATTTAGGTGAAGACAGGCGTAGGACCTTTGTGTCGGGTCCATTTTACCTCACTGTATCGGGTCCATAGCATCGTGTCTTGCTACAATGTCAGTCTGAGACTCTGAGCAACATCTCTCTTGTCGGATCCAAACACCTGGAGCCTCCAGACCCAAAGACTTCCTATCCCATACGAACAAGGGTGGAGATATACGAGGCTCCTCCTGTACTTACTGTGGTTTAGTGGTCGGGGGGGGGGGAGCAGGGCCGGCAGGATCCAGACCGATGCAACCGATGCACTAAATCGCCCAAAAAATTCTGATCGATGCAAAGTTATCATTTGGATCAGTCAAATAATTGACCTATCGGTAACGTGATCCCATTGTCTGTGTTGACCTGCATGGCCCATCAGCTTCTGACCGTAGCTGTCACTTTTTATTTCTGTACTGTACCTGAGTGGCAGGTTTTTGATGTTCAACTCCAGATATCTCGGTTATGGGTAAAATGCACCAAAAGTGTCATAGATGAAAATCGTCTTGTTTTTGTCTGAACTTATCATTAGAAAAATAAAAACAATATCGAATTAAGTCTTCTACTATAAATGGACCAGGCTGTTGTTGCTACGGTCCACAAATATGAACAACAGGAAACCAGCCTACTATAGCCAGACCAGGGCCGTACCTAGGGCTAAGGGGGGGAGCCGGTGCGGCCTCCCGCCTTCTTGGTTGGTAATTATACAGTTCAAATGCAACACATAAACTAGTAAAAGAAGGCTGTTCTGATTGGAAGTATTTTGGGTTTTTTTACTTTTATGCACTGTCTCCTGAATGTATCTGAACCTGCTCAAGTGCTTGTCAAGTCTGGTAATGAAAGAGCTCACACTCGGTGTCATCACTATCTCTGGCAGATTGTTCCAAGAGTTCGCAACTCTCACTCGAAAAAGTTACCCCTCACAGTTTTTTGGGCTTGCGGCTTCTTCAACCTTGAGCTGTGACCCCTTGTGGGGCGAGCGTCCGCCAGATCCAGGTAAGGACACTTGCCTGAGTAGTGCCCTTTAAGATGCTTATACTCCTCAACTAGGTCCCCCCTTGCCCGTCTGTAGTATAAGCTAGGCAAGTTCAGGCGCTCCAGTCTCTCCGGGAAGCTGAGGTGCCGTAGTGCAAGCACCAGTCTGGTGGCCCTCCTTTGGACATCTTCAATTAACTGACAGTCCCTAGCATATCTCGGGGTCCAGACAGGGTGACAGTAACCCAGATGCGGAAGCACTTCACTCTTAAAGGTCTTTACGAGGAACGGACCGTCTATATATCTGAACAACCTACTTATAAGACCTAATAATTTAGTTGCCTGATTTACTTTCTTCTCGCAATGGCCCGAAAACTTCAGCTCATTGTCAACATACACACCTAGGTCCTTTTCACATTGTCTAAATCAATGCAGTTTCCTCGTCCCGTTGGGACATTATGATACACCACCTTACCGTTGGTACGTCTCTGGTGCATCCTCTTACACTTCATGACATTGAATCTTAGCAGCCATTTCTTCAACCATTCTTGGAGCTCACAGAGATCCTTCTGCAGCTCCTCACAGTCTGCTTGGTTTTTAATTTCCCGAAATAACTTGGCGTCATCCACAAACATTTGTATTGAGGAATGTACAGCGCCAGACATGTTATTTGTGAAGCAAACAAACATCAGCGTGTCCAATACACTGCCCTGTGGTACCCTGCGACATAACCAGGCCAAGGTGCAAATATTACAAGGGTAATTATGACGGGATGAGGGAGGAGATGAGGGGTATCCACTAGCCTGAATCACTGAGGCATAAGAACGCGGACGCTGCACTAAATACCATAGCTAGTAAAGTAAATCATTTGATCGAGAAATACATACCCAAGACCAAACCCTGTGCCTCTAGAAATACAAGGAAACCGCTTCACATGAACCATGCGGCGGTCGACAAAGTCAAGATGAAAACCCAGAAATTCAAGACGTGGGTCAGGTCGAAAGGCGAGCTGGACAGGAGGATGTATGCAAGAGCCAGGAACTAAGCAAAGGAGAGCGCAGAAGGGCTGACAAAGAGTTCTAGAGGCTGGTTGCAAGCGAGGTCAGGACAAACCCAAAGGCGTTTTACCACTATGCAAAGTCGAAATTATTAACACGAGTAGGAGTATCGGATCTGAGAACTGATGATGGTAGGTACGCAGAGTCTGACCAGGACAAAGCCAAGGCATTGAACAGCTTCTTTTCCTCGGTGTTCACAAGAGAGGATGCGACCAATCTTCCTGTGTTTGAGGATAGGCTGTGCGATACAGCACTGTCCCACATTGTGTTCACAGAAGAGATTATAAGAAATAAACTGTCAAAGCTAAAGGTTCATAAGAGTCCCGGCTCTGACATGGTGCATCCCAGAGCGCTGAGGGAGTTGTGCAACGAGCTAGCTGAGCCCCTGAAGATCCTGTTCTGTAAATGCCTGGATGAACAAAAAGTCCCCAGTGATTGAAAAATGACTTATGTGAGTCCTATCTTCAAGAAGGGCGATCGTCACTCCACGAATAACTATACAGTAGACCCGTGAGCCAAACTTGAGAGCATTATAAGAAATGCCATGATGGAACATCTACAACGAAACAACCTCGTAAATGATTGCCAACACGGTTTTATGCCGGAGCTCTTCTGCTAGACACAATTACTCAGGGTATTGGATATTTGGACCCAAATTCTAGATCAGGGTGGTAATATCGACAACATTTACCTAGATTTTGCCAAGGCTTTTGACAGTGTACCCCATTAAAGGCTGAAAATTAAACTGGAAGGGTACGGGATTCGGGGAAATGTCCTGGCATGGGTAGAGGACTTTCTACATGATCGCAAGCAGTGTGTGGTGATTAATGGCACGAAATCATCATCTGTATCCGTAACAAGCGGGGTACCACAGGGCAGTGCTTTGGGCCCGCTGCTGTTTGCTGGCTTCGTAAATGACATTCCTGAAGTTGTACACTCCTCCATACATATGTTTGCTGACGACGCTAAGTTATTTCGGGAAATTAAGAACCAAGCAGACAGTGAAGAGCTGCAGAAGGATCTCTGTGAGCTTCAAGAATGGTCGAAGAAATGGCTGCTGAGATTCAAGGTCACCAAGTGTAAGAGGCTGCACCTGGGATGTACCAACGGTAAGGAGGCGTATCACATGTCCCAACGGGACGAATAAACTGCATTAACTGAGACGGAATATGAAAAGGACCTAGGTGTGTATGTTGACAATGAACTGAAGTTCTCGGGCCATTGCGAGAAGAAGGTAAAGCAGGTAGCTGAATTATTAGGTCTTTTAGAAGCTCGTTCAGATATCTATAGATGGTCCGTCCCTGGTAACGATCTTCAAGATTGAAGTGCTTCCCTGCCTTGAGTACTGTCCTCCCGTCTGGTCCCCGAGATATGCTAGGGATTGTCAGCTGATTAAAAATCTCCAGAGGAGGGCCACCAGATTAGTGCCTGCACTGCGGCTCCTCAGTTACCCGGAGAGTTTGAAGCGCCTGAACTTGCCTAACTTGTACTACAGACGGACAAGGGGAGATCTGATTGAGGTGTACAAGCATCTCAGAGGGCACTACTCAGTCGAGTGTCCTTACCTAGAGCTGGCGGACGCTCGTCCCATAAGGGGACACAGCTCAAGGTTAAAGAAGCCGCAAGTCCGGATAACTGTGAGGGGTAACTTTTTCGGAGTGAGAGTTGTGAACTCTTGGAACAATCTAACAGAAAGTGTTGTGACGGCACCGAGTGTGAGCTCTTTCAAGACCAGACTTGACCAACACTGGAGCAGGTTCAGGTACATTCAGGAGCCGGTGCATGCCCAGTACTTGCTAACAGTACGTAACAGAGACGTGACCGATCGCCCAAGCGGCTAACGAGCCGATCAGTGGTGAAGAGGATAAAAGTAAAAAGGATAACTGACAGATTAACAAAACGTTGGATAACAATTCATTTTTATCCAACAAAACTATTCATTCGCTGTTTATCCTATGAAACATAAAGTACATATCATAATATACTGTATTGCAGTCTATACCGTCACCAAAGGAAATATATTCTAAGCAATAAAAGAAGTAAATTAATATGATTCATGAAAAATGAAAGAATCAACTCAAAGCATCAGGCTTAGAAACAGCATTATACCTGTATTGAATTTTACTGGATGGGACCGAAGAACGTTGGTGATTCCCACTAGTAAACAGGGTGTTGTGTAATGTGCGGCATGAGTTGGTCCCTCATAACCTGGTGCTGTAAACTACGGTGAAGTTGTCACCGAGACCACGTACGACAGACAGAATTCTATAGCTATGTCTGACCTGAAGCCCCTACACCAAATGGTATCATCGTGCACGGGGGCGGTAATTACTGCAGTGTTCAGTAAGTGTGAATTTGATCAGCTTGTCTTATCTAAAAGCATGATGAAATTGTTGCACTCCCTAAATTTCTATAATTTCATCTGGTCAATTTATAGTAGTGCACCGTTCTTTCTTTGGGTACCGTATTAGAAATGTGTAAAAAAATATAAAAAATCACCAAAAACCAACCAAACCTAACCAAACCAAGTCTAATCCTGTGGGTCCAGGGTGCACTAATGTAAGAAGACCTTTAATAGTCATGAACTTTGGCTTATTTATTATTAACTTGATGGAAGTGGTGCAATTCATTCTTTAAATATGAAAAAACCAACCAACCAAGCCTAACCCATCTAACATATTACTGTATCTTATAAAGTATTAAAGTACTGTAATACAGTACATGTACTTTGGAACATTGACTGGTTAATCAGCGACTATAGGATTTTTTTTTGTACAAGATTTATTATTGATAATAATGGGAAATTACTGGGAATAACCAATATAATTTTATGGTGATTTATAAGACTGGCCCATATTTTCGAAGTTTATTTATGGAGATGTAACCCACTACAAACAACAATGGTTTCTTACAAAGTGGATAGGGCTTTGAAGATGAGGGAAAATTTGGGGTTAAGACATTAATTAAACAGCATAATCAAACCTTTGAGAACCTTACCTAACCTGACCAGTGGAGGGGCATGTGCATGGTTTCGTACACAACCGGAACTGTTTATTATTTTTGCACGTGATATAGACAGAATCAGGTTACAGCAACAAGACGGATTTTAAGTTCACTAAAGACACTAGCTGGATATTACAGTATATTCAATTCTCATTCACATGAGCTTCAGGTGATCAGCTTTGACCAATCAGAGGACAGTACTTTTCTCTTGAATTAGTTACATTTGGTGATTATTCCGTAGTGACCATTCGCGGAACTTTGTATTGATTCTTATACTGTATAGGGAGATAGAGCAAAAAAATTAATACTTTCTAGTATTTTTGTCAAAATTTTTTATATTTTTTAGTTTTTTAACTTTCTGATTTCAATTAAAGAAATGCAATTTTGATTTCACAAAGTTGTCAGGGTATTGAAGTACAGTAGAGGGAAATTGCGCGGTAAAAACATGCAAAAACTTAACCTAACAAGCGAAACCAGAAGAACCTGACCTAGCCACCTATCTACCCCCTGGACTCCTCAGTGTGTAGACCTAATGTAACCCAACGAGATGAAAGAAAAACAAAGGACCCTAAAGAAACCTAACCTGAAATCGACGTTAAGAAATATGTAAATGAAATATAAATTTAAAAAGAAAAGTAACAGCTTCCACAAGACTATCACATGACATTGACGCATCGGCTGATTGGTTGAGTATGAATTAAGCGCATAAGCAAGAGTATCACGTGACATCAACACGTGTGCAGATTGGCCGAGTTAGAAGTAAACAAAATATATACCTGCAAACTTGTATTCTCATAAGTGAAATAAAAATAGTGAAAATATTGTGAAATTTATAAATTTCTGAATCGATATAAGAATCGATATAAAGTTTTGTGAAGTCACTACAGAATATTAACGTTACGTTTGTGCAAAAATTTTATGTACAGATATTTATTTGTGTTATAGTTTCCTCATGACGAAAACACATAAAAACAAGAGAATCACTAATGAAAATATGAGAAAAACGAGGAAAATCACTTAATGCTCCTCCATCAGTTAAATCAGGGAAGTTTTTGTGGTACAGTATTATGACTCTTTGTAGTCTAGAAAATATCACATTCTTTTAAATCACTAATTGGTTATTAATTTCTCATTGTAGAATTAAAAACCTTACCCTATTTCATGGATTTTTATACTTACAGTATTTTGGGACTTTCTTTCCTTATTAAGGATAAGAAACAAACTTAACACAGTGCCAAGCATGCCACTACATACTTGTCTCAAACACTGACAAACACTACCTTTGAATTATGTCTGATTTCAGCAGGAACAGGCTGCTGTGCAATATACTGTACTGTTTACTTAAGTTTGGCAGTACAGTACAGTACTCAGTGGTTCATTCATGCTAAATGATCTTAAGTAACACCTAATTCATCCTAAATGTCTTAATACCATCTTAAACAGTGCCTAACCCATCCTAAACAGCTATCACAGCTTAAATAACACCTTATTTATTTTATTTATTTTTTAGCATGGGTGTTGGTTAAATTAACTCCAAGATCATCTATCAGTTTGCTAAACCCACAAGAATTTAATCAAAGTATTTTAAATTGCAACTCTTAACCGTGTGTGTAATAATAATAATAATAATAATAATAATAATAATAATAATAATAATAATAATAATAATAAACAGTTTATTGAAAAAGTTTGCAGCCCGAAGGCTGAAAATATACATTGGACATAAATGACTTATTACATACATTGGTGGTTTAACAAAAGCCTTCATTAGAGAAAGGTGAAGGAACATATACAGTGAACATACAGATTAATGTTTACACACGTAGATCATGTGAGCTGAGGTGTTGAACAGCAGACGCGTAGTGTAGTAACTCCCTCACAGATGGCGTTATGAGGGGCATCGCGTGGAGTACTAGATCCCTCACAGGTGGTGTTATGAGGGGCTTGACGTGGTGTAGTAATTCCCTCACAGATGGTGTTATGAAGGGCCTGATGATGTAGTAGTTCCCTCACAAATGGTGTATGAGGGGCCTGATGATGTAGTAATTCCCTCACAGATGGTGTTATGAGGGGCCTGATGTGGTGTAGTACTTCCCTCACATATGGTGTTATGAGGGGCCTGATGTGGTGTAGTAATTCCCTCACAGACGGTATTATAAGGGGCATCACATGGCGTAGTAATTCCCTCACGGATGGTGTTATGAGGGGCATCACGTGGTGTAGTAATTCCCTCGCAGGTGTTATGAGGAACTTCACATGATGCTGTAGCAACTCATTCACTATGCGGTGTCGTGCATAATGGAGACACCACGTGGTCCGTTGTCACAGGACTTCAGTCACTCAAGTGGGTGAGGTTGTGGTCCCAGGCCTCTCTATCGTGGAGTCTCAGAGGAATTATCACTGGGTACCTGGGACCTCACTGTGTGAAGGTTAGCTTGGCTCAGACTCAACTGCCGAGTTGTTTTTCACTGACTTAAGCACTGTTCACCACTATTCAACACTGGTTCCATTCCTTTCCCAAATGAAATAGTAACTTCTGGCGAGAACTTGTTGATATTCCGGTGGGTAGGAGGGTTCAGGGGAGGGAGTTGGTATGGGCCAACATAACAGTTGACGTGGCTGCTGCTGAGCAGCGCCAGGTGCGTCTGACCCGTCTTGACCCGTCAGTTTGTGTGTGCGCGCGCATGTGCGTGCCTGAGTGCAATAAAAAATTATTCCCCCCTAAACAGAATGTTGTTTGTCTATACAGTACAGTAGTGAATTTTTATTGACAATAACTAGAGAAGACATTTATTAGATAGAATATTGTAATTTACGTTTTTCTTCTTTCAGTGACTCCATTTGATGTTGTGAAAGTGAGATTGCAGGCTCAACAGAGGGCAGAACTTAGCCGAACTTGCTTTCTTTATTGCAATGGTCTGATGGATCATATCTGTAAATGTGCACAATCAATATGCACCCACCCTGAGCGTGATTTGTGGTATAACCGTCCAGTACAGCTTAATGGAACACTGGTAATTATGAAAATTGGGGTTTTCTTTCATTGTCCAGTATGTATTGCTTTGTCTCCTGATGTAGCTTAAAAGAATTGGGAATTTATTTTACTTTTATAACAATTACAGCCTTATGAAGTTTCTGCTCTAAAATTTGTCCTAAGGAAAGAGAACATTCTGTATTGTTTGATTAGCTATACCTGTAACTGTATACAGGTAGTAGGAAAAAAAAATCTTATAGTTTTCAGTTTTGTCAATAAGACAACCTTTTGGCTCCTGGCGGTTTCCTCAAGCAGAATAAAATTGTCTGGAAGTAGTCAGAATAAAATTCTAAAGTGTGACAATCAATGGGAAAGGGTTAAAGTTCGTAAAAAATTTGAACACTGCTTTAAAGAATAAAGAAAATAATGTAGAATTTAGATTATTTTTTTGCCTTGGAGGATGGGGAGGATAAAATGTTACTCCCCCGAACCTGACCTGATCTATCTCTATTTGGCCCAGGTTAAGGACAGTAATGACATTAGCTTTAAATTTTTATAATGAAGTGAAGAGATAATAAGCCTTTGCATTATCCAATGGGTGTGGGTCTATCATTATACTCTAATGAGCATAAGCCCTAGAGAAGCAGAAAAATAAAATAGCAGGTACACTACGTTAAAATGTGTATAGATAAAATGTGTATAGAGAGAAAGAATTGCATTTAAGGAATTTACATTGTTTTGTGGGAGTGAAGCACAAACTCTGGATGCAAGTGGAAATATCACATTTGAAGAGAACATCAAACACAGTACAGTACGTAGTATTGTATACTGTATCAAGTAAATAGGATGCAGAAAATAAGAAATGTAGAACTAAAATGTGAAAGTAAATAAATCATTAGGCTGAGAGTGGATCAGGGTTCACTCCTTAAGTATGGACATATTGAGGGAATGGAAAGTGAAATTGAGGCACATAAATAAGTATTAAGTACTGTATATTTGTTTAATTTTTAGGTTTCATATGCCATTTTGAAATTGCAGTACAGTACAGTACTGTACTCTCATGTTGAACCAAGCATTGGTGTAATCGCTCATTGTTTGCTGCATTTGTTTCTAAAAAAAATATTTAATTTTCTTCATATTTACAGGATGCCTTTGTTAAGATATCCAAACAAGAAGGAATTCAATCTCTCTGGGCTGGCCTACCACCTACACTTATTGTGGCAATACCCAACACTGTTATATATTTCACAACTTATGAACAACTTCGTGCAGCCGTTCTGAGATATCTACCTGGAGATAGGCAAGACCCTCCCTCATGGGCAGGAGGGGTAGCAGGTGGTTTAGCAAGAATTTGGTCTGTTAGTGTCGTGTCGCCATTTGAACTTATTCGAACAAAGATGCAAGCACAGAGTATCTCATATAAAGGTTAGTTGAATATTGTTTGTTTATTGAATATCTCTACTGTTTCACCGGAAACTATAAGTACTGTATTGCATCCAAGTACAGGAAATTTATACAGTATTTGTAATAATTTTTATTGTGCATTATTTAATTCATTCATTTATACTCTCTTAATTTGTAGAACAAGGTACTGTATTACTTTAATTTGTACTTACACTTGTAATTTTATTTTCACAACCAGAACGTCGTCCAAAATCCACAATTTCCCAACATGATATAAAGATGAAATTACAGTATTCTTCAATTATCATTGATAAAATTTGTGTGCATGATTACTAAAACTACAAGAAGTTGTTAAATGAATAACGTGTACCGGTATCTGTACAATGTTACTTACTGATGTAATTTAGTTATTCATGATGATGAATATGACTTTCAGTCCACATGTGTGCTACATTTATTGCTATCAAATGCTTCTTGGACTTGGAATTTCTAAATGACTGAGGTTTCATTACTGTACTTATAATTACCCAAATACGTACACACAACACACTTGGTAAAAGACAACAGTCCATATCCATGTTTGCAAAACTGGCCTGAGAAGAACTTTGCTTGGCCAATTTTTCAGACTGGAATACTATTCCTATGAAGCTTAGATACTATGTTAATATTGATGTGCATTTTCTCTCATGGTTTCCCAGTTGCCATCATCCAAATTTTAAGCAAATTTTATGGCTGCTTGCCCCTCCTGTTGTCAACCCGCTTTTACAGAGTAGGAAGTTGGCATTATATGTAGGCCTTCCAAGTGCCTTCTTAGCGAGCAAAGTAGGTCAAAACTCCGAAGTAATCTTTGATTACCCTTCTACCTGTAAAATTTTTCCAGGGAAGTGGTGAATTATACCTTTAGTATAAATACTGAATAGTGATAGGGTTTGTTTCTTATTCACAGAGTTGGTGAAAACATTACAAATGGAAATCACCAATACAGGAATCATCAGCTTATGGAAAGGTTGGGTGCCAACAATTCTGCGAGATGTGCCTTTTTCTGGTAGGTGTCATCACTGCTAATGTCACATAAATAACTTGGATTACTGTGACTTAAGAGTGTTAGTTGTCTTTAAACTGATCTTTAATTACCCCAATGTATCATGAAATTTAGAATGTTTCTAAGTACAGTATATAAGATTTCTTAATTTAATTTATTGCATTTTTCTTTGTTTGAATACAGTATACTGTACACTTGCTGGGAAAGTATTTTTACGGAGGGGTCCGATGAATTTAAAAATTAACATTGGCATATTGTCTCACACAAAATTGTAAAGTTACCTGTACTTCAGATAAAGAAAAATGTAAAATACAGTCTTTTTGGGAAACTGAGAGCTTCCTGAAAGTGAGTCAAATTGTTTTTGTTTTTTTGTCGCAGCAGCTCCAAGCGATTCATAAGACTTTGTGAGAAATTGAGAGCTTATAAATAATTATTGACTGATTAAATAAATATTAAAATATTATTGTTTTCAAAGAATTGAGGTAATGGTTGCCAGATGCTGCTTGTTGTCACATGCAATCCTTTGATACAATGGTAGTGCTGAATGGTGGTCTTACAAAAGGATTTTGAAAGGTTGCTGGTTCCTTGTCAGGAACATTAGCATTTATCTTGGCTGCTTTGTTGAAAAGAAAAGTGTATATGGTGGCAGAATTGTACAGTACAGGCTGTACTGTACTCTTTATGTTAAATAAATTCACTGCAGGTCATTGAAGTTTTGAATTTCTTATGGAAATTTGGATCAAAAGTATGTTAGATTAGCTTGACTATCCTTTTGACAACTAATATATCTCTGTATTGCAGTTATGTATTGGTACTCATATGAGATGCTGAAGACCACTATGAATCAACAGCAACCAACAATTCACTTCTCAATGTTTGCAGGGGCTGTATCTGGAGGGGTGAGTCTTATGTCCAGAGTTTTAATCATTCTCTTCCGTTGACGGGAGTTGTCGTGTTGACAACAAGATTTAAAAAAAAATTAATAACAAAGGACACCGCACTACAGTACTTGACGGAGAGGTGCGTTGGTAAATTTAATTAATTCCAATACCTGTACATTGTATTATAAGTTGATTTTATCACCACACTTCATTGTTAAGTGCTGTAGTGCAGTGTCTTTCATGAAATTTTTATTTATTTTTTAACTGTTTGTAAACACACTGATCTCGTCAATGGAAGAGGGTGATTAGTGTTACTGCCACAGTAAGATTAACTAGAAGAGAGAGAGAAAGAGAGGGATAACCACAATAAGATAAACTAGGCAACAGAGAGAGAGAGAGAGATAAGAGATATAGTGTTGACAACGAATTTGCTGAGGTGTTTCAATGTAAAACAGATGGCCCTCGCCTCCGGGCTGCCCTCGAGGGTAGTCTACCGATTTCTACAGGACAGACAACACGTTGGTTCAGACCACTAGACCCTAAAACATGAGTGATTGTGAAGTATTAGAATCTGCTAAGAAACTCTAAATAACTTTAATAAGTATATTTATGTACTAAAATTTGATCATATTATACAAATTGTCTCCTGTATCAACAGTTATAACATGTAAGTTATATTTAAGATGTTAACAGGCTATGTACTGTATATTGATTGTATTATTCATACTATGTGTCCTGAGATAACAGCATTTGTTATATGAGAATTGTTCTTTGACAGCTTTTGACCAAATTATATGGTACGCGTCAACGTTGAGGGTTTATTTCTCCAGCAACAAACCAATAACGCTCCTATGAGCGTTAATATGAACCAACGTGTTGTCTGTCCTGTAGAAATCGGTAGACTACCCTCGAGGGCAGCCCGGAGGCGAGGGCCATCTGTTTCACATTGAAACACCTCAGCAAATTCGTTGTCAACACTATATCTCTTATCTCACCCTCTCTCTCTCTCTCTCGCTTAGTTTATCTTATTGTGGTTATCCCTCTCTCTCTCTCTCTCTCTTAGTTTATCTTATTGTGGTTATCCCTCTCTCTCTCTCTTCTAGTTTATCTTACTGTGGCGGTAACACTGGGCGTTAGTTGATTTCCTTTGTACTTGACATTAAGCACTGTAAATTTTGTAAGATTTCTAATCTGTAATCTAAGGAATATTTCCCTAGCATGGTAATGTGATCAATGGAGGCACAGAAATGTAAAGTAGATAAGTGAAAAGTTGCACTAGATTACAGAACCTTTGAGATCACTTTGTAATTATTAAGATGTAGAGGATAATTGTAAAGAGGGTTTACAAAGGCAGTTTAGCAGGTGTGTTGGGTATAAGTTGGCTATATTGAGAGGGATAAGTTAGAATAATAAATTTTCAAGAGAATTGGGAGGTGATGATGGGAGCTCCCTGGAGGAGTGAGGTGTGTAAATAAGAGAGGGTAAAACCACTACAGTTTTACACCAGAGTAGATGCTGTAAAATGTTGCTGGCTGTAACTGTAATAATGGTCTGTATATGGTGTTTGGCTAGGCTGTTACTAGTGTTCAGCAGGGCTCTTGGAACTCTATATTCATATACTGTACAGTACATATATCCCCAATGCTGGGTGATGGCAAGGAAATATAGAAATTCTATACTGTATAGTCAAATAGAAGAAGATTCAGGAGGAGATGAAGAAAAGGTATGTTTCTGGGCTATTAAGGTTTAACTGATCATCACTTAAAGGTACTGGACATTATTATTATTATTCCTGAATAAAGTGCATCGTTTGTACTGCATCAGTGTGTGTGACCAGGACCATGTAATGCTAATTTACCAAATTTAAATTTGTTTTCATTTTATTTAGATTGCAGGTGCCCTAACTCTACCACTGGATGTCATCAAAACACACCGACAAATAGAAATTGGTGAGAAGGAACTGTTTTCAGGTCAGAATCATTAAGCTTCGTCATTAGACGAAATATTTCTTAATATGAAGAAACTGGGTCTTGGTATTTACTTTCCATATTTTTTTATTCTTGCATGTTGTGTATGACGATGTAGATGGTGTATGTTGAAATTTAAATCTAAGAGAAAAAGAAAGATGCTATTGTAATCATAATTTTATATCTGAAAACTCCATAATGTAATAATTCGATGAAGTTTTTTAACAGTAGACATGAAATGGTGCAGCATGTAGATGTACAGAGTAGTTAAAATCATACAACACAGTGAAATTGATACAGCCAGTATAAAGGGTAGTTGGATAATTAAACTGCTTCTGAAGGCACTTTGTAAAGCTGAAGTGGGTCATAACAAAGAAGAGTTACTGTACATTGTCTTTTTTCATGTTATATTATGTGCTTACAGTTAGGTAGCAGGTATTGAATTTTAACCAGTAGTTAACCATTCTGTATCGACATTTGGGGTAAAACCTACATCAGTGCATTGAATATTTGCTGATTTTTTTAACTGATATTAACCCTTCAATGACAGCGCTTATAAATAGATGATCAGTGCCTTTTGTCCCACAACAACGGTGATCATCTTTATTATCAGGATCTTTCCACAGCATAATTTTTAAGATTGGGGCTCAAGTTAATGTATTTATTGTGACTCTCTTGGTGACTTTTCCTTTCCCACAACCCTCCCTCCACCAGTAGCATTTTTTCCGTCATGGAGAAAGTACAGGCAGTCCCTGAGTTATGAACAGGTTACCTTCCTGGACTCTGTTCATTAGTCAAAACAGTGTAAACTCTATTGGTTACATGAGGTTAAAACACAACCCTGCACATACAAAACAACAATGATATCCCATACATAACAAATAATGTAAATACAGTACCTGTAAATATTGTAGACAGGGTGGTGTTAAACATTATAAAGTACTGTAATATAAAAAATTATTTTCATAAATTTTTGTGATGAATATATTGGGATCCCCTTTGTAAGTCAAGGATTGCCTGTAGCTGGGAATTTCAGTGACATGTCACACAGAGAGACCCCTCGCCATAGTATTGTTGCTTTGACACCCAAAAAATTAAGTAAAATATTATGGGAATCGGAGAGTGAGGTTGAGTTGGAAGAACTGGTAAATTTGCTGAGTTAATTTGGAAATGATAGCTTGTGTATGAGCTTCAGCAATAGTGACACTGACAAACTAGTCATCAGCATATGAGAAGTGCATAGAGACCAGGAGGAAAACAAGGTGGAAGTGCTTCTCCACGTGTTGCTTGTGTACTGTACTGGGTAGGTGTGCATTTTCAATATGTGCACAAGGTGTTAGTGGTGCACGAGACTGGAGTACAGTTACGGTAATGATTTGGACAGCCAAAAAAGGATGGCACAACACAATTGTGAATGAACTTTTGTTTATTTTCATATTACCATATTGATGCCCAGTGCCCTCAAATGTGATCTTAATGATAATTGAAAGCTTTGTATAGTGATTGAAATTATTATGCAAAACTTTTGGGTAAATTATTAGAATATTGCACATGATCTTTGACACTTAAGTACAGAGATAGGAACTAAATTTTCAGGTGATAATTTCCCATATGCCTTCCCTTGTAGATGCAGGCAGTTTATACAGGACAGGTTTCAATATAGAGGAAAATGTTCAAGTAATCTTTTGATTAGGTAAGTTACTTCCCTCTTAAATTGATACACCATTTACATTCAGATGCTCATTGCCAATGCACAAAAATCATATCTTTGTGGAAGCCTGATTTTTCTTCTTTATACTTTTTACAGCAAACTCCAAGAGCTCTTCAACAAAGCAGATGCTTCTGAACATCTACAAACTGCAAGGCATGAAGGGGTTGTTTTCTGGGCTAGTGCCAAGATTAGCCAAAGTGATGCCAGCATGTGCCATTATGATTTCAACCTATGAGTATGCAAAAAGGTTCTTTAGAAATCATAATCAATTGGATAGTGTTTGTAAAGAATAGCACTATGTTATAATATATTCTATTATTTTTCCCATACAACTACTAAAATAGTCTAGAGATCATAGTGTGGTGATACACAAAATCATCTACTTTAGTGCCAATTGGATGTTGAGCTGAAGGTTGTTGATGTTCTGTTCCCTATCTTCATTACCTTTGCACCCAAAGCTGCCAAACTTGGGTCATTGGTATAAGTTTCCTTGAAGGCTTGACACATAATTTGTTCTTCACTCAAAAGAGGATTTTCATTTCATCATTTTATCCCCTCAATTCCCAGAGAAGGTGGATCAAGTGCACAATATGTTTAAAGGCAACTTTTGTCTCTTGGTACACAACTGAATTTAGGGGTACCTCTAGAAGTGATGCTTTTTAACCACAACAGTGGGTCCTTGCTCCTAAATTCATTCTAGTCTGTCTAATTTGTGTTATTATTATTTTCTTAATTTAATAGCCTACTGTATTTTTGGGTGGCTTATTAATATTTCTAATATATTGACTATCACATTTTGAAGTGTTCCATACATGTTTCTTTGTTATAACTGTATTGTACAGTATTCCATCATGTAGGGTGCTCTTGTTTCCTTAATACTTTACTGTCATTTACCTCGCTCAAGTACACTCTTGTCATTATCACCATGTCTTTCCTCTAACCACTTCAGCATATAGTATTACCGTACTCTAGTACAGTATATCACTTTAACTTACTGTCGTCAACTTTTTATCACATCATCTTGCTGTCTTCAACTTTAACTAATAACACATAAAATTTTAATTTTATGTCAGTCTGCAGTCTTCCTTGCATCATTTTTCCTTCTGAAAATGTCTTCATAGCTCATAATATAGTTTACAGTATTTTGTACGTGTTATATTTCTGCAGTTGGCTGTGCTTTAATCCAACCAAATGCTCACTTATGGAGCCTTTTTCTATACATACACTACTTTCATTGAATCCATAGACTGTCTACTCTTCTGCATTTTCTTGGTAATGTCAGCCATAATAGTGACAATATCAAGTTTATTGCTGCTCTTATCTTAACTGGATGCACCAGCTGCATAATTTGAATTCTGAATCTTTGCAGTTTTTATTGAATTCATAAACATTGTTATGCATTCCTGTTGGGCAAAATTTTTATTGGTACAGTACTTTATTTTCATAGTGTGAGAAGCTCGGTGTATGATTGACAAACTTCCAATGTTTCCATTTTCTGTTTTCAACATCAGAAGAATGGTCTAGTCTTCACCAAACAAATGGCTGTGCACTTGGTTTTAGTATAGTTGTCAATTGTATGTCCGGTGCTTCGTATGCATTCATAATTCAACTTAATTTTTTGTTTAATGTACCCTGTATTTTCTTTGAAACTTTAATAACTATTCACTTCTTAGTTCAGGATTTCAATAAAAGGGTTTCAAAAGGTTACACCTTTACTGTCATCATGCTATACTCTGTAAACTTTCTTGTTACAAGGTATGTGAGATAATTAAACAACTACTGTCCAGTACTTCTAAAATGTACAAGTCTTTATTTTTCTCACTACAGTACAGTGGTCCCTCAGTTAACGAGCAGAATCCGTTGCAGCAGGTTGCGCTTTAACTGAAAATCTCGTTAACCGAAACCATTGTTTCAATGGGTTTTTGGGTAATTGGTTCCAGCTCTCTGAAAATTGCCTAAATTCAACAAAAATGTTAGAAATTGACACTTACTTTGAGGTGTGTATGTAGAAGGCTCCTGGATGATGATGATGATGATGATGATGATGATGATGATGATGATGGGAATTAGAATGGGGGTGGAGGAGAAGGGAGAAGAGAAGGCATTGGGGTGGAAGAGAAGTCACCTCATGGTGCCATTTCACCCATAAAATTTTAGTTCTCTTGGTGTAATTCAAGATTATTTTCTTTAAATCAACACTGCACTGCATTATATATTGTCAGTATGTAAAATAAATTTCAAAATGACCAATAGTTTGCTTGGAAACACACAAAAAAAGCGTTGAGTTGAAGAGTCTCAAGCAAGATGTTACCTCCACTGAAAACAGAGAGACTAACGCTTGTTTGGTGTGTTAAAAGGCTGGATGGCGCGCCACAAACTATTGACCTAACTTTCAATTATGTTCAATAATTGTTAAAATGACTAAAAAATTTAATATTAAACTTAAAATTATTGAATAGTATAAACTTCTTGATATTTACTAAAATAGTAAGGAATTTAAGCCCTAGAACCGATTACTGTATTGGCGGACTAATACTACAGCTGGTTGACCGCCAAATGCAAGCGAAAACTTGTACAGTATAGTACATTCCACGACTCTTTTGGCCAGTCATAAAAAATTTTGTGTATCATTTTCAAAATTTTCCTTTTTTCAAATGTTTTACCCAGTTATCTTTTATATATCTGAGTGTGAAGTTATGGATTGTATTGCCAATAACAGTTGGCTGTTACCATACATATGACCTCCTACTGAGGAAAGGAATTTTCATAACCTGTATTTCTGTTCATTTTGTACTGTTTTCCATATACTGGACTGCATCAATCCATACTTCTAAAGCTCATTATCTTGGTATTTGTACATACAGTATACAGATTGGAGAACTGCATCATCTTTCCAGTCGCTAGTGGTATATCTCCAATATTGTGTTCCACTTTTGAGAAATAGTACTACTGAACATTATTTCACTGGTACTCTGTTGCACTTTAACTTCAATTCAGCAGCCATCCTTTTTTTCTCTAGTTTTATTTTTGTGTTGTCTTTATTGAAGTTGATTATTAATACCTCATTCTTATTCCAGTTAAAAGTAAATCCATGATATACCATTCTCACCCATTACTGATATTGTAATAAAATTTTCAACTCCCACCATACCAGTAGAGGCACCCTTTGGTTAGCTTTAAAAATACTGTTTAGTTAGTTTCTTGTATTCTCCTTAAGCAGTAACAAGTTGTACTGTACTATTGTGGTAAATGTTTCAATTGTAAATGTACATTAACAAATTGTACTATACTATTGTGATAAATGTTTCAATTGTAAATGTACAGTACCTACATCTGTATGATGATGAGGGTTCACTTTCTTCTGTGTATGCAAGTGTGTCAAGTTGTCCAGAATGCACAACCAGATCTCTCAGGATGATATACTTTAAACTGTATGTATATATATAAGAAAATCATTTGGCTGATGTACATGTACATTGTACAGTACCTTTAATTGCATACTGTATAGCGTGATTCTTTCCCAAAGAAAATTTTTTAAATGTTTGTACAGGTAATATATTTGGCATCATAGTTAAGTGTGGCCAGTGTACAGAAGTAAGACTTTCATGCTGTATTGGTAATTTGGCAGTGTTATGCATTGTAATTAATTTATAATTAACTTGAATGAATAATTAATCATCTGGGTGCAAAATAAAATAGAAGGGTATTCTAATTCAAAGGTGTGTATGGTATGTCTGTCTCTGTATGGCATCTTAGTGGGTTATATATATGTATATACTGTATATATATATGTGTGTGTGTGAAATAAGAGTTTGTCAGTTGTATGTAGGTGTATGAATATTTGTATTAATATACTGTAAGTACTATGCAGGTACTGTATAACTAAATGCCAATCTCGACCCAAATTTGGAATGTGGTTTCCCCTATTGAGGAGGAAAGCATTGTACAGTATGGTAGCTCTTAAAAATGATACGTGTGAAATTTGACCGAACCTTTTGTCAGTTTAACACACAGGATTTCTTGCTGTATTTTTGCTTTAAAATTTCCTTGTAACCATTTTTCCCCAGGCTTTAAGGTCTACAAGGAGAATATACAGTACCGTACAGCTTCAAGTACAAGTAGGGATATATATTTTGAAATTGTTAGTACAAGGGATATTTGAATTCTACTAGAATGTGTACGTAACTACGTATGGGTGTAGCCTTTTTGTTCTGATGGGCTCGTGTTTACATTTCTAGTCCCAAAATTAGGGTCTTCCAGAAAGTATTCATAGTCAGTAAGTTGAGTTTTGTGGGTGTTTGTTTTAACAATTTCATTTTTAAGTACTGTACCTGTGCAGATGGAATTGCATATGAACCTTCATTAATAATTCCATCTAGCAATCCGAATATTTCCTTAACTAAAATAAAAATGTTTTTGATTCAGAATTTCAAGTTCAGAGTAAACTTAATTGTAGATCACTCCATAGTCAATGTAAAGTACTGTAGTATGATGACCATCTTTAGGAGCTTAAAGTGGAAAATTAATCCTAGACTTTGTTCAGCACTCAAAATGTATGGTCATCCTTAGATTGCTCAGCCATGAAATAAATTTTATTATTAAAGATTGACACAACCTGTTTACCTCACTTAAATTTTGTAACAGAAATGGTTAGTCTGGTCTGAGTTGCACTAAAGGTTTAAGGCATAATATATACGGATTAACAAGTACATATACATATCGTGCTGTCATTTTTAACATTAAATAAATAAAAAATTATGAATTTTGTGTATCATTGTGCTTTGATTTCATGATGATATAGCCAAGTAATTGACTTTAATGATTATCAGTTATTACTGAATACAGTACCATACAGTATGGTATATGAAATCACAAATTCATGCCTATTATCCAGTGCCATTTAAACACATTAATCTATACTGGATAGACAAACTGTACTGCAGGTCCACAATTCCGAAATCCGAAAAGCTCTGAAAACCGAAAGTTTTTTCGTGGAACGTCACTCGTGTGCACGACATACCCAGAGTGACACTGAACATGACCCGACGCGGCCGAAGCTTGACCCACGCAGGTGTGAGACGTCAGTTGTGTCTCAGCACTACTACCAGTTACACGTGCGTCTGCTACTCTGATATTTTTTTGTGATTTTGAGGTTATATATTTCACTGAAAATGTCAAAAAGAGCTTCAGATACCCCTATGGGTAACAGTGAGAAGAAAAGGAAGCATCTCTCATTATTGATAGCACAGAAAGTGGAGTTTTTACTGAAGCTTGATCGTGGTGTACCTGTGCAGCGTCTTACTAAAGAATATGACTTAAAGAAGCAGAAAGACAAGTTTTTAAGTTTTACACTGACAGTGATGACCATAAACTAATGAAAAATAGGAAAACATTGCATAGGACAAAAAATGAAGATCTTGACCTTGTGCTGATTGAGTGGATTCGACAACGAAGAAGTGAACGTATACCACTGACTGGTTAGTTGGTCATGAAACAAGCTAGAATATACCATAAAGAACTGAACATTGAAGGTGAGTGTGAATATTCTTAAGGTTCATTGCAGAAATATTAATGTGTTTGCTTACGGGATGCTGCCACAGACCCAGCTAGGGTGTTACCATAATATACGGTATATGTACCGCACTACCGTTCTGAAAAAAGAAAAATTCCGAATCACATCTGGCCCCAAGGGTTTCGGATAAGGGGTTGTGAACTTGTAATTGTTAATACTGTAGCATCATCAAGTCTTTGCTAATTTGATTTAATTTTACTTTACTGTTAGACTAAAGGAAAATTGAATACTGTGTTTATGTTGCACATTAATTTTCATCATGTCCGTCCTTATGTATATATTTTCAAAACAGATTTTATTATCAACTACGGTACGATAGAAGAAAAGTGTAAAATACATTTCTGCTTGTTTAGTTTTACATTATATTCTAGTTATCCGTTTACTTTTGTTATGTTATAGTTAGGCATATACTGTACATTCTTTGGAAACATAAATTTTTGTGCCCCTGCAAAAGCTGGTGTGATCAAATGTACTGTATAGTGTTTGGAGTGTCCATGTTTCAGTTTTGTTGTAGTGTATCTGTGGACAAATTTAAGGTCCGAGAGGACAATTTTTCTTTGTGAAAGTTAAGGTGAAAATATTTTACTCTTCAATTCATGATTGATTATAAATTGGTCAGCCTTGGCTTTCACACTACAGTATAGGATACTCATAAGACTTGTAGCCAGTTGACTTTAGCACTGAGTGTCTAGACAGTGAGAGCTTGGCTGTAATTTTGTTCCTTCTAGACAATCGAGTGGTCGTAGGTGACACATAAGTGTCAAAAACCAACAACTTGACAGGGGCATTTGTTTACTTAAAAACTTTTTGTTGAGGAGGTCTAACACTCCAATACTTAGTTGTTGTTTTACCTTGGCATCAACGCCTTATTAATGTGATATTTGTCATTAGGCTGATGACAGACCATTAGCTGATCTCGTGCTGTTGTATTTAAATATAAATAAATTTACTTTTGAGCTTTTTTGCCTTTGGTTTTCCACAGCATTAAAATTACCAGAGTACAGTATATACTTTAATACTTGATCTTGTAATAGGACGGTAAGGTTACTGCTGGAGGTACTGTACACTGTAATGGAGTTCTACTGTGTATCACTAGACAGTAATGGAGTTTACAAAGTTATGTTAATGGAATAACATTTTATTAATTTAATAATCATGGAAATACTTCTCAAGCAAGAAAAGGAAGAAAAATAAGTAATGTTTTAAATGTGATGATGATGGTTGTCCA